CTCTCTCTCTCTCTCTCCTCTCTCTCTCTCCTCTCTCTCCTCTCTCTCTCTCCTCTCTCTCTCTGATTGTCTTGCTATATAAGCCCAAAAGACTCATGATTCTCGCAATGAAATGAATGTGGACGTGTTTCCGGGCTTCTGTGCATCCCCCAAATGAACGTAGCCGTGTATCCAGGCTTGTCTCTCTTCATGACTTTTTATTCATTTCACTTGCACTCTTTGCTTAACGTATACTTTTTGTGTTGGTAAACTCTTGAACTGAGATTTGTATCTCTCTCTCTCTCTTCTTTGAACAAAGACTCTTTCTCCGTCTGAACAGAGATTTGTATCCGTTGACTCTCTCTCTCTCTCTCTCATTCTTGAACATAGGCCTAGTCCCTTGATTCTCTGTTCTCCCTCAGGTTCCTCTCTAATTCTTGAACATAGACTTTTCCCTTGATTCTCATTCTTTCTGGTTCCTCTCTCTTTCTCTCTTGATTCTTTGCTCTCTCTCTGCATTTAAAGTGTAATATTCATTTATGGGTAACTATTTAACAGAGACTTGTATCCCTCAATTCTCTCTCTATTTAGTCTCTCTGGTTTAAGAGCTATACATCTCTCTCTGATTGGGCACCAATCCAACAATGGCAATCTTCAAAGTCGAGAAGAAACATCACAGACGCTTGAATAACCCATTTCCACAAGACCCCAATTCCCTGAAATTCACGAAAGCAAAGCTTTTCTGCAATCCCCATCTCCCCCAAAACCAGTCCTATCACATCGGGTCCAATTTCCTTCTTTGCTACAGTTCTGAAAATGGTGTTTCTCTCTCTATCTCTCACCAATCTGATCCCCCAAGAAGCCTCTGGTCCACCATACCAGGCCAAGGCTTCATCTCCTCAGCTTCCTCTGATACAAATGTAACAGAAAGCAGGGGATCTTTTGCCATCCATGATAACAATACCAAATATTGTAACCATCAGACATTGGAGGATATCAGATTGATTAAAAGTCATGAAGCCATTAGAGAGGTTCTAGTGGATGAAACCCAATTTGGGTCTCAAAATGTAGGTTCAAAACCATGGTTTTCTGGGCTTTTACAGGAGACCCAATTCCCTATTTTGGCCATTACAGGCTGTGTTTACAGTAGAGAGGAGGAGGCAGAAAAACAGTTGCAGGAATTTACTAAAGGATCCAAAAACAGAGGCCCATTCTATATAGCTAATGATAGAGATTCAGCATTCACAATCTTTTGCAAAAATAGGGTTTTGGGTTTGTCAATTGGTGCAAGGTATTGGCTTCTCTTTGCTCAAAAAACCGGTCACCAGTTAGAATTTTGTGTCGAGATTAAAAAGGCCTATTCACCGACACATCCAGAAACTTCTAAAAGCCTCCAGAAGGTTCAATGGAAGTTTGGACAACATCTCCTTCGTCTTTCTCGGGACCGAGGATACATTACCATTGCTTCGAAGAAGAAGAAGAGAGACAAAGTTGGAGATAGAGAGTTGAACAGAGTAATTATAACTTATTCTAGTGAAGGTGATGAGAGGTTTTATGGTTTTGGAGAGCAATTCAGCCATATGGAGTTTAAGGGCAAAAGGGTTCCCATACTTGTGCAAGAACAAGGTCTTGGCAGAGGAGATCAACCTATTACTATGGCAGCTAATTTGGTTAGCTACAGGTATTTTTTTGTATCTGTTGAGCATGCAAAAGCTTCAAACTTGTCTGTTTTCTACTTTAGTTTACTAATCTAGCAGCATGACTCTCTCTCTCTCTCTCTTTCTCTCTCTCTCTCTCTCTCTCTCTCTCTCTCTCTCTCTCTCTCTCTCTTCTTCCTTCTTCTTCTTGTTACGTTAGTTAGTATAGTCGTACGTACGTACGTACGTACGTACGTACGTACGTACGTACGTACCGTACCTACCTACCTAC